GTATAAAATACATTATATAAAAAATCAATTTAGCAATTCCTAATCAGATATAAAGTACATTATATAAAAATCAATTTATCAATTCCTAATCAGGTAAAAAGTATATTATATAAAAAATCAATTTATCAATTCCTAATTAGGTATAAAGTACATTATATAAAAAATCAATTTAGCAATTCTTAATTAGGTATAAAGTATATAATAGAAAAAATTAATTAGCAATTTCTAATCAGATATAAAGTATATTATAGAAAAAATTAATTAGCAATTCTTAAGTCAATTGATGACTCAATAATGAGTCAGTTCATTTGATATATTAAAAATTATATACCGTTGGCCACTGTATACAGTACCCAGAGTCTTATTCAAAATTTTCATTTTTAGAATTGAATAGTACCCATAGGTACTGTGTGAGAAATTAAGTACTATTTGAGGGGATATACTATATCGGTGGGTATTGTATACGGAGTCTTATGTAAAGATAATTATATGATACATATGTATACATAGTACAGGAAGTTTAAAGACCTCAATCACATTATATAAAACCAAGGCATAGGAGGTAAGCTAAATATGCTATTTCAGTAGTGGCTTTGTTTCAGTATGTATAAAATAGTTGTTAATAAGTTTATATTATTCTTGGCATGTTATTTTTATGCAAAAAAGATTAACAATTTAAGAAATTTTCTTTGTTTTATGCATGTCTCTATACAAAGAGATTGAGGTTTTAAATTTTCATACTGTACGTACATATATAAGTATCTAAAAAAACTATATAGCCAATAGCCAAAAATTCAAATAACGTAAAGACCCTTCTATTACAGATACTATGACTCCTTGGATCGATCTTGAAGAAGGAAATATATTAGCAGAGGCCTTTAGTAAAAAACATATTTAGACCACCCTATATTTTATATATAATCAGCTTAGAACTGAAAGGAAAAAGTATTAGCGAAACTCTTTGCAGAAATACTATTGTATTTTTAATAAACAGCTTAAGACTTTATTAGGATACTACAATTCATTGTTTTTTAAATAAGCATCTATGTTTTTAAGAAGAGAAAGGACACTTTGTATAATGCTGTTTTAACTTATCCAGATTTTAGAGATAATAAACTTAAGTTGAAAACAGCACTCACAAAAGCTTTTTATAAGAATATTACATTTACAAATCTGAATATTAAGCATAACCAACCATTGAAAATAGCAAGCTTAGCCTTAAAGGTGAAAGTGTGAAGCTCTTTATAACAATAATAAATAATATCCTAACTTCTTTAATCTTAGTCAGAAAGTATAGAGAGGAATTTTATTAAAATACCACTTTATTTTTCTAATAATTAATTTGGTTCTAGCAGAAAACTTCAGATTCATTAAACACAGAACATTATTTTAAAAGAGAGTGATGTAAAACATTATGGGTTTAAATAAATTGGCAAGAAGTTGAATCAACTAATATCTTGATATTCACCAGAATTCGTGTTATGATTAAGGCAGATCCTGTGTTACTAGATGCATCTTGCAACTATATAAAAAAACGTGAAATTTCTTAGATTTGTGTTCAGATCTATAAACTATAGATTTTATAATTTTAGCTCAAAAAAAAAAAATCAAAATGCCAAAAAGAAACTTCAAAGTGCGACAAGCAAAAGTCTTACAAAAAAAACAATGACAATAGAACGTCTACGAGAAGTTGATGGTAGTGCTTTACTAGAAAAATAGATATAGTATTCGCGAAACAGCAAGCAAATATGAAATTGAACCAAAACAGGTTCATGACTGGAAGGATAAAAAATATGAATTGATGCATATGGCACCCTATGTTCAACGGCTTAATATTTGGGCATGACCCAAGTATTCACAAATTGAAAATAAACTTTTGAAGTAGTTTCATGAATTAAGAAGGCAGCTGAAAACAGTAACCAGATACATGATTGGTGCAAAAGCTCATAGTATTGCTACTAAACAAGAATACGGTACCTTGTATCCTGATGTTCATGAATGTAAATTTTTCCATAAGTAGATAGATGGTTTTATGTCCTGCTATTCGTTAGTTAACCACAGATGTATTACAGTTGCTCAACGGTTACCCGAAGAATATGTTGAAAAATAACAAAATTTTTTGTCGCATGTTTTGTATCTGTGAACTGAATATGGTCACCCTTTAAGCTTGATTAGAAACTTGAATTAGACCCCAATAGCATTTAATATGCCAAATCAAACAACCATTGAGGAATGTGGAACATGAACCATTTCAATCCTTACAACAGGCCTTGAATGTACCTGTTTTACAGTAACTCTTGCTTGTCTTGCAGATGGTATTAAACTTCCACCACTTATTATTTTTAAACTAGTAAATGTGCTCTAAGAACAGTTTTCAGATGGTGTATATGTTCACGCAAATCCAAGTGGTTGGATGAATGAGAAAGAAATGATTTGGTGGATGGAGAATATGTGGTGCCGAAAAGCTAAATTGAGCTCAAATCCACGTTCACTTCTTGTTTTTGCTTTATTTGCCGCTCATATTATAGATTCTGTAAAGTGTCATTTTAAGGAAAGAAATATGAATATCGCTGTTATTCCTAGTGGGCTGACCTCACGTTTGATGTGTCTCTAAATAAAGCATTTAAAGCAAAGGTTGGTTGTAAAAGTTAATAGCTATTATACTAAAGTTAATTTTTAAATATAAGTATATTATGATTAGTAATAAGCATAAACTAATCTTTTTTTTTGGTTGGATCCATTGCTCTACTCTTACTCCCGGTTCTAAATTAATATGTCATCAGGTCAGGTTTGGTTTAATTTTATGTTATCGTATGATTACAATAACGTAAGATTAAAAAACTATTTTATTTTAGGTTTGTTATGCTTACAACCAATGGATGGATAAAGCTATTAAGGAATATACGCTAACGGATAAAATTAAACATTTGTCATATTCACTAATAACAGAATGAATTAAGAAAGCATGGGATGATATTGATCCTGCTATGATACGACGATCTTTTAAATGTTGTGGAATTTCTATTGAAATAGATGGCTCTGAAGATAGTTTAATTTTTGATTTTGGAAAGGTTTTGGGTGAAAAAAGGAGGATTGGTATTGAAGAGGAGGAAGAAAGTAATGAATTAAGTTCAGAAAGCACAGAAGATGCGGAAGATGAAAATAATCATAACGAGTACTGTGAACACTACGAAAGTAAAGAAAGAGACTATGTCAATGTTTGGAATTAATTAACCACAAATTAAGATCAAAAGTAGTCATCTAGCAAATTGGATCACAAACAAAAATTTGGAAGGTCCGTTGAACATGAACAAAAAAAAAAAAAATCAATTTAGAAGTATCAACTCAAAAAATGAATAAACCTTAAAGTTTTAGATCTTTTATCGTATTTATAACCATTTTAGTAAGACTAAAATTTAATTTGATACATTTTTACATTTTATTACATTAAGCTGAGTAAAGATAATCTTTGTTCTTATAACCTTGTTGGGCTTGTTTTAGTAAATATTAAAAATAAAGTTTACAATACTTTATTATACTTCTAGATAAACTTTTTTAGAAAAAATTAAAATTAAAATCTGGGTTTACAGATCGTTTAAATTTAAATGCATAAATACAATTTCTTTATAACTTAATTTTAATAAAATAATCTATTTGATTATAGCAAATTATAGTAATAATAAAGCGTATTGGCTCAATAAATAACCTATAAAATTCATATGTTTCTAGTATGCTTTCTTATACGAAATGATCACTAAGAGTAAATTTTAATTAAAGTTATATGAGATTATATGCAAGACATATGCTAAGTCTATCTTGTGTGAGAGTCTTTTTAAAACAATATTAAATTATTATTATTTCTTTAGTACCCGGGTATTATTCAATTTTCACAAGGTCGAACTTTGAAAAGTACCTGGGGTACTACCCATAGCCTGACCATTATGGATGGTGAATAATATCAGGGTCTTAATCATAGAGGGTACTATTGTTGAGGGATACTGTATACAGTGGCCAACAGTATATAAGGCTAATAATATTCTAACTATAGATGGTCAGATAATTTTATTAGACATTCAAAATAATAAAAACAGATAACAGAATCATAAGACTTAATTTTAATTCATATTATTTTGATCGTAAACAATTTGATTTTTTAATAAAAAACTTTTTCATTAATTATAAAACTTGTCTATTTAAAGAATTCATTTATCAATATAAAAAGAATCATAATACAAAACAAGATCAAGATTGTTATATTCAAGCAGTTTTCACTTTAGTAAATTAAACAAGATTGCCTAGTATTTATAAAAAGTTACAAACTAATAATGCATTAGAGAAATAGTATTATGATTCTGTAAAAAGCATTAAAGATAGGTGTGGCGACTTAGTGAAGTGGTCAAGTTGTTGCACCCCCAAGCAGCAGAACAAGAGTTCGAATTCCACTGGTGACGAAATTCGAATTTTACAGAATGTATTATGGCAGACTGTGTGTAATCTGATAGATCATCGGATCTGTAAACTTGGTTGTACTAGGGGTTATTGGGAAGCTGTGAAACTGTAGTGTGATGTATGAGTTATATGAACTGAGTGAAACAGCTATATAAATTCAGATATTGGGGTATACAGAAGCCCGCTTGGCAAGTTTTGAGTAGAGAGATAGCACAGATCTTTGCCGATACTACGTAAAAGATTATCTAAGAGACTGAACACCGATTTCAGTGATCTGGACGAGGAGCAGTGTTAGGCAAGCACTATACCAACCAGGCTGCTGAATATGAGCCAGAGGAAAAGGACCTAACTGTGGGAACCAGGAGCAGGTCACAGCCCTTCCGGGCTATCTGAATTGGGAGTTTAGGTTACTGACAGAATTTAGATACTGGTAATAGTCTGTAAAGTGTATATTGGGGTTTAAGTGAACTTTACAAAGGCAGAAGTAGGTAATGGTAGTGGCTTCGGTTTGCAAGTACTTGTTCTCAGACTCGGCGTAAGTTATTGAAGCCTAGGTTAGCCAAATTGTAGGTACAGAAAGCTCTAGCAGGTTTATCTCGAGGACAAAGGACCCCTATAGATGGGTCTGTCTTAAAGTCCTAAGTTGGAGATCCGAAAATAAAGGGTACTAATGTATTCTTGCTTAGTTAGAAAATTAATATATATAGACGCAGAGGGTTTAAATAGATAACTCGGTAGAGTTATAGGTATGGTAGCTAGTGTAGAACCTTTGGGTGTTTACTTAAATAGGCAATCAAAAGTTGCATATGTGGCTAGTTGTACTCTCCAAATATATGTACAGTATGGGTTTTATACTGTAAAAGTTAACAATAATCGAATAAAAGAATAGCAACCAAGAAGTCACCTTAAAACCAAAAAAAAGCATTAAAGATTCTATCGCATATTGTAAAAAAAATACAACAAATATGACAAACACAATCGAAAACCAGTTAATAGAAATAATCTAAGATGCAAAATTTAAGGTGCTGTTCTTGAAATAGTTGATCCAGAAAATCTAGAAAATAAAATTTTACTTGCAATATGTCAATATAGCTATAAAAATTCAAATGATCTTGCAAATTGTATATGGTATACACCTGAATGCTGTTCTCAACGTACTTTCACAAGATATGATTCTAAATCTGAACCATTTTATTATAGACTAGAAAATTATAAAAAAAAACCAAACAACCCTAATGGAAATAATAAAATACTAAAAAAAACTCTGGAAAAATAATGGATAATTTATTTATTGAAAATAAATCTGGTAATAAAATTATTGTAGAAAATGCACAAAATAATCCTAAATGGGTTAAAAATAATCTAAATCATATTTATACTTTATGTCAAGCTATAAAAAATATTAAAAAAAAAGAAAACAGAAGATGCTGGAAGCCTGCAACAATATTTTTTTATAGTGACGAAAGTTGAGTTAGAAAAGGTTATTTGTTTTCATTATTATTTCCAAATGCATATGAACATAAAGTGCAGATGGAAAATTTTGGCAAGATTTTAATAGCTTATATGAAGAAGTTTTATTAATAAATTCAAAGGCCAAATCAAATATTTAGAACTTTTAAATCTTCTTAATCTAAAAGATTATAGTATTCAAATAAAAGGTTGTGAAAATGAAAATTTTTGCCCAAAAGTAATTGGATTTTTAGCAAATACAAATGTTAGATTTATTTACAATTTTTACGAAAATGAAGAATTAAAACCTATATCAGAACAGAAATTTAATAATACAAAATTATTTAGTTCATTTGTAAATCAATTAGATTATATTGTAGAATTCAAAAAATTCAGAGACGATAATGAAAAACCATGTCGAGAAGAATGTTCTTGTTATAAAATTCAAATGATTTTTCACTATGAATCACCTGAAGATTTTTTAATTTCAAGTTTGAAATTGAATTTAATGATAATGTTTCTGAAGAAAAAGCAAGAAAAATATTAGAAAAAAAGTATAGATATTTTAAAGAATTAGATGGCATTTATTATTAGCAAAAATATTATACAATTGACAAAAACAAATATATTCTTGGGCTAATTGAACCATATTATCTAAAAATTTACAATACTGAAAGAATATATCAAAATACAAATGAATATAAAGCAATCAAAAGAAAAAATTTAAAAGAAAATCCTTTAGAATATAAAGATGAAATTCCTTCTATCGAAATAGCATTTCCAGTAATATTACAAAAATTAAACAATAAAAAAACAAAAAAAGAGAGAAACCTTATATTTAAATGTCTACTAAATCAAGATCAACAAACCAGTATATTAACAAAATCATTAGACCCCCAAGAAGAATCAAGTAAAAGAAAACTATTAATTAATGAATTAAATTATGATTCTGATCTATATTCAGATGATTCAAATTATATCCGTAAAAGAAAAAAGCAAATATATTAAAGAACCAAAACAGATTGAACAAGAAAATAATAATTTTGATTAAGAACAAATTAAAGTTTATCAAGATATTATTAATCAACAACAAATTGAAATTCAACAGAATTATCAAGAATCACTCAATAAAAAAGAACCTAACAATATAGAAGAAGATAATTTTAATTACAATGAAGATTTTGAATTAGATATTGCAGATAAAACAAAAGATGAAGAATTTAAAAGAACAAACAAAAATAATAATCTTTATTTAGGATTCTTACGTATACTTTAAAAAATTATAAATTATTTTTATTATTTATTTTTTTTTAATATTAAAAATATTTTATAAATAGCAAACAAATAAATTTTTTATTACTAATAAACATGTCAATTCCTAAAATAAATACAATTCAAGAAATATTATTTAATGAAAAAGTGTATCAAATTTCTATTAGAAAACCAACTTATTAATAAAAACCAAATAGTTGTTCAAAATGTAATAATACAAAATTTTACTGTCAATATAATTTATGGATATGTAAAAACACAAATTATAACAAGACAATTTCAATATATCATAATTCATTCTTTAGTAAAAGATGTCTAAAAAGCAATCAGATTTTATCACTTAGCTATTTTTGGATCTCAAAAGTAAGATACATAACACTAAAACATTTGATGGGATTATCACCAAAATTAATTAAAAAATATATAAAAATATTTCGTGATTTAATAATAAACACATTAACAGTTAATGATAGCAGACTAGGAGAGAATATAAAATTGTAGAAATAAATGAATCAAAATTTAAAAAAGATGTTTCATAGTGGGTTGTAGGATTAACTAAAAGAAAATTTAACAAATATTATTTTGAAGTTGTAAAAGATAGAAATGCAAATACTCTTACAAAAATCATAAGAAAGCATTTTATTTCAGGTACAAGAATCTATTCAGATAGTTGGCATGGTTATCAGAATTTAAAAAAATTAGGAATAAAACATATTTGAATAAATTATTCAAAGCAATTAAGACAAAAACAAAGATTAAGAAAAATTCATAGCAATACTATAGAAGATAAATAAAAAATTTTAATTTTATTATTTTAATATAAAATATATTAAAAACTATTAATAAATTAGGTCTATGAAATAGAATAAAAATAAATATTTTAATGCAAGATCGAAATTTTGATACAATTACACCATATCTTCAAGAATTTGTATGGTGTTGAAAAAACAAAAACAGATTGTAGTAAGCATTTTTAGAAGCAATCAAATCTTATAAAAATAATTCTTAAAACTATATAAATATTTAAATAAATCTTGTAATTTTTAAACAAAATCCCTCA